TGTGCAGGGCAAGAGCAAAATCAAAAAGCGCCACCAAGACGGGTCCAACATCTTGACCAACATGCACCTCCAGTCGATCGACAACGAGTTCGACTGCCACCTGATGGCACACCACACCATCTTGGGCACGTGCCTCGTTTTGGCGCGACCCTGACGAATGTGCTGTCCATGATCGCGGACATGGCGGTCGTCGCCACTCGAGAGCTGACACCTGTACGACATCAGGACCTTGCTCCAGAAGTCTGCATGTAGTGTTTGCAACTACCAGCAGCAGCGACTTCTACATGCTGACAAGGTCGCAGTGGCCACTCCGATACGAACAAAGCACAGTGAACATGCATTGCCCACCATGCACCAGTCTCCCCGACAGAGTCCGCTACCGCCGAGAGCCCGTGGCACGTCTTGCTCGACCAAGACGAGCGCCAATACACCTTCGACATGGCCCCGATCGTTTTCGTCGCGTTGTCGGCCAAGTGGTGGCCGTCGTCATGCTGTCAGCGGAGCGTTCATGCGGCCACAACCGTCCTTGGGCACGACGTCTCTGCCATCCAATGCATCTTGCACCACTCACTCGTTAATCGACCACCACTTTGTTGCATGACGGGCATGCCGTCCATGACGGTCGTGATTGGATCGGACTTGCTGGCGTCGAGTACACCGAGTGCATCGCCACGTCCACCAGCCCGTGTCAGTGACGACGAACTGGTGCAGCAGTCATCATCCCACGTCAACCTGGGAAGGCTTCGAGTGGACCATCTTCCCTTGTGACGCCCCACCGACCGTCCTGGCACAACGCTTCCAAGCGTTCACGGTGACGCTGATGCATGTGTCCGATGTGGGGTCGACCAGCGCCACGTATCCCGCGAATGCCGCCGACTCGATGCACATGTCGCATGACGCGTTGGCGGCGAGTGTGTCAAATGGCTTTCCCGGCAGCGTTGTGGTGGGTGCGTCGTAGCCAACGACTGGCGCATCTTTGTCGTGTATACAACGATGACTTTGCAGCAGCACACGGACAATGCTGTAGCCCGCGTCGCGAGTGGGAAAGATGTGTCGAGGCGGCTTTGTCGTCCAACCGACCAGACACGCCGTCGACGGCGTCCAAGCTACAGCACCGACGGCTCGACGAATCGGCCATGCACTTGCCTCGACGGGGCCGTCGACGTCAAGCTCGCCTTCCCATCGTGACGGGCGTCGGCGGCCACGACGTCGCGCCACCTGATCGACGTTGCCGCACCACTCACGCTTGGCGGCCTGCACGCCAGCATTCCCAGGAATCGGAACGAGTGTTTTCGCGGCCGTCGAGCCCGTCCTGATCGTTGGGCAGTTGCGCGGCACTCATACCGGGAAAAACATGTCGAAGTGGGAAATACCTCTAACACTCGCACATGACTTTTCGGAGTTCTCCTGTTCTGGTGCCCTCCATCCCGCACGCGCGCCGCCGCTCTTGTACGAACGAGCACGCGAGCTGCGTCCAGGTAGGTAGGTATACTGCCGACGCCTCGAGCGGACGGTCACCACCTCGGTCGCCGACGCAAAAGGTCGTCGCGACGGTTCCTCGTGTGGGGTGTCGCGTGTGTGGTCGTTAGACAAAGACCAGACAGTCAACGGCACGACGCGGCCATACTCTACGACGGACGATTGATGTAACGATGTGAGTGACAGCCTCTGGAAGGATCGACTTGCCCGTTGTCGTTTCGACCCCCTCGGCAAGGGGAGCCTGCGCGCGCGCACTCAAACTGGCATCTCTCGACCACGTGGCCGCCTCCGCATACACGTCCACCACGGCCCGATTGTACCGTCATTTGCCCCCACTCCACGAGCCTCGGTCGAATCGCCCCAGACACTAGGAATTGCTGCATCCAAACTCCCAATACACCCGAGCACAACAGGCACAGCGAGCATGTTGTGACGAGAGGGGTGCCCATTGGTAGGGCGGCTTTCTCGCGACCGTGCCTTGCGAGACCGCGGACGTTGGTGTCGTTGGTCATCGCGAGCTCCTACGCCGCTGCGGCTGCAAGGGGGTTCGTGGAGGCGGCGACCGCTGCGCTGTCGTCGGGTTTGGGTTGCTCGGGTAATCCTGGGACATGTCTGGCGTACTGACCATAGTTGGCATCGTGGTGTCCACTTGGGACAAACATCGTGGTTTTGCCCCGGCAAGTACCACGAGGGACCGACTTGAGCGAGAACGACCGGCGCAGGCCAGTGCATCGTTCGACAACGTCGTCATGGCACGCCAAGACCAGGTCCGGGGAAAGCCTATATGCGTGCCGGCCACCGACCTCGGCATGGCCGAGCGAGAGTGGGTCGAGTGGAGTCTTCGCATCACCAGGTACAGACCTCGTCTGCGTCCGACGTGATCCCGTCATGGTGTTGTGGTGATGTTGCAGCGCTTTGTCGGCGGTCGGGTGCATGTACGTCATCGTTCGGTACATGCTCGGCCGAAGCAGAGCCGACCGCAACGTGACGTCGATGCTCGTTGTCGCGTTGGCAGTCTTCGAGCTGATGATTGCGATTGCCAAAGCCCCCGCGACGCAGTTCATCGTGTTCCAGTTGGACAGCATGACCCACGACACATGGGTCAAAGCAGCGATCCAGCCACCGCTGGAAGCGTCGCTGTGCCAGGTGCAGGGGTACTTGATCCAGGTGTTCATGCTGCAAGGTGAGCGTCCCGCCACGCCGCGTGACCTGACCCGGTCGTTCGATAGCGGTGCTATGGAATAACTGCATGGCGTACAACTTGCTGCGCTGGGTCGTGTACCGAGACACGGAAGAAGCGCTGCAGAGTCGATTTTGGCTCTACTTGTTTGCTACGTCGACGTTTTCGGTCGTGTGGGGGCTCGGCGCGGCATTGCCCGTCTGGACGCTTCACTCGGAAACCCCCGTGTCCATGTTTGGATTTGCTCGATTCTTTTGCTGGATGCAGTACCCCGACGTCTCGATCTGGGGCTTCATTTCGTTTGTGCTCGTCACGTTGGGGTACACGGCCGCGCTCATGATCAAGATTCGACGCGTCGTCGTGGCCCGAGCCAAGCAGTACGTCGCCGCATTGTGTCGTTGACGTCCCCCCGTCGTGTGTCGATGGGCGGATCCAATTCCCACAGCGCTCGTGCCTCATCGGTCGTTCCGTTTGTAGAAACGCCGCCATGGCGACGATCGACACGGACGTCGATGCCATCCAACGGCGTTTGTTTCTGTACGTATTTGCGTTTTTCATTTTGCACGCGCCGCCCGTGCTGTACCGAGGTACGTTGCCGCTGCTGCGTCCGAGTGCCTCGACCTGATATGCACGATCTGGACGCGCAGTGATTTTGTACGTGGCCCAAAACGCAGCCAAGAACGACCCGATCGACAAGAATGCGCCGCACCAGTGCGCGTTGGCCGCTGTCAACATCTTTGGGATCGTCGCGCAGATCTGGATCAACTTGCAAGGTGCGGTGTTCGTCACGTCCATGGCCGAGTCGTCATGCTGTCGCAGGGTTTGTCAATGCGCTCATTTACAGCGGGTTCATTCGATCTCCCAACTGCCCGTTGCTGCAGCGAGACGGGTCCGTCTTGTTGTCGGGCCACTTGCCGCCACCGAGCATCTACTTGGAAGAGGTCGGGTCCACTGCGTCTGGAGCGGCGTCGCCCACGACAAGCGAGCGCATCTCGATCTTTGCGTCGACGTTCAACATGGCGGAAGGAGCCGTGCCCCCGGACGACCAACTTGAAATGTGGATCCCGAAAGGCCACGACGTGTACGTGATCGGGGTCCAAGAGTGCCTGAATCTTGTTCCGATGCGTCATGCCATGGCGGCGCACATCCAGCGCATCAATGGCAAGCCCTTTGTCGAGTACGGCCGTGAAATTGGACGAACAGAAAAGGTGCTCGGGTTCCATGGGTTCATTGCGATCACGGTGTACGTCGCTTCTGCCGACGTCCATGCGGGCCACTTCCACATGCATCTTGAAGCATCGTCCAAGGTACAACGATCATGCGTTGTGGTAGGAAAACGTGATGGACCTGGT